TGAACTCGATTGAAATCATCTATATACAAGATTTACTGAGGTGGTTTGGGGCTTGTCGCCTTGTTATAACATCTAAAATTGTCGATACTTTGAACACAAGATTGGTTCTGATAGTATTTTTGGTCGGCTGGGGAATGATTAAGTAATTCGGCATTCTGAGAAAGACAAGCAATCGAGATATTGGACAAAGGCGCAACAATAAATGCTTCAGGAGGCAGAAACGATGATGGGCTTTTATGTCGAATCCCAGTATCAATAGGTCGTAGATTATCGACGGCAGACAACATGGATTCCGTGTCATCTTCGCAAATGACGGAGTCATTAGTCGATTCTTCGGCAATTGGTAGTAACCGCACGCGCCTTGTACGCGAGATTCTCAAGTTGCGTTGGGTCTTTCTTGAAAGGTTCCATACCATTTGGGATGAGCTATTCAAGCAAGGACACTCTGAAGAACTCTTGACAGCACTTGCACCTTTGCTACTCTTGATTGCAAATGCGCAATCCTCTACATCGGGCCAAGTTACCTATAAAAATTAAGATGTTAAGCCGAAGTACAAAATAAATGATTGGGGGAAATTATAAATAACTTACTTGACAGAGGTTGGCGAGACTATACAGGTCAATGAGGCGGATCCTCGGTTCCTCATGTTCTGCTTGAACACACTTTGAGGGGTTTGTGATGACTTCACTCTCCGTACAGTGAAGTCGGAGTACAGCCAAGGCGACACATGCCGGCCGAAACTTCGCGACATCGACCGAACATAAACCCATCTCAAGATCCCTGAGGAAATGAGCAGGAATACGAATTTGACCAGACGAATTAGACGTAGGTGCAACATTGATTGAGGCCCCAGATCGGTAACGCCTTCTCCGCTTAATGTTGAGGTGAGGCAAGAATGTGTGGAAGTCGTTTATGGCGCTGAGAAAGACTTCTAAAAAATCATATACTGTAGCTGAACTTCCACCAATGGAAGTAACGGTCTGTGAACTGAGCTTGTTGAGGATTATCTGAACCATGCGTTTTAAATCAAGTGAAGTCCCTCCGCATCGAAATAAATAAAC